TTTCTCTGCCTGCTTTATGCTGGTGGAGAAATGCTTCTCGCTGTAAAGAATCTGGGACTCTAGAATTTGCATGGTGAGAAGCAGAATTCTTGAAAGCTGTAGCAGGCTGGACTTTTCCTGAGGCTGCCCTGACCCCCATGTGAATTCTTGCGTGTCAATTCAGGGGCTGTGTTTCAGTGCCTGATGCTGTGCCTTTCGTGTGACCTCAGGAGGGTCTTCTGAGCTTGGAGAGGTGGACTGCTGGGTGCTATATAATTCTCATTTGAAAGACAGGCAGAGTGAGAAAAAAAAGTCATCATTTATTTTACTGGTTATTGCCTTCTCTTCCCAGTGTCATCTCTGGCAGTCAAATACTATATAGTCTGAGCTGATTAAAGACCACAGAGGGACTATGCCTGGCTCTGTCAAATATATTCAGGGCCTTGAATTGAGTGATACTTGAAGCTTACTTGTTGAATGAAAGGGAAGTGTGTATTCTGTAGGATTTTGGTGGTTCTTCAATTTATGACGGAACATTCAGATGACAAAAATACTCTGGCTCATTAGAACCTATGTTTCCCCTTGCTTTTTCTTTGGTTATTTGGTGAGGCCTGGACACTTCTATTTGTATTTTTAATCTTTCTTTAAGAATTAGTAGAACATAGGTTGACAACACAGACTTTGAAGTCAGGCTGTGTTGGTTTCCTGGCTCATCATTTACTTGACTGCTCTGTGTCTTGACTTCCTCATCTGTGAAATAGGGATGACAGTGGTACTGCTTCCCAGGGCTGCTGAGAGTATAAAAGCATATGACAATAGCTCACAATAGTACTTGGCACATAGTAATTGCTCAGTAAATGTCAACTGATACTAGGTGCTTGATAGTTCATTTCTTCTTCTAATTAGATGTCCAGGTCAGTTCCTGTGAGTGTAGACTGCTGTCCCTGTCTTTGATAAGGGTATGGTAAAGATTTTCCACAGTTCTGTGAACTCTCCCTTTGTTTATTTAAATGTCATATATTTTAATGCTAAATAGCAATACAATTATTATGCAGTGCCACACCTCAAAGTAGTTTCTCATAAGTCACATTGACCAAGGCTTGTTCCTCAAATAGTTGAATAATTTATTTTAAATCCTAGATCTGAGTATTAAGGACCTACGTCAACTTTGATGAAGTTTAAGCTTATCAATCAGGAAAGCTTTCTCACTGTAATTTACTTTTTATACTCACCTCTTTCCCTCTTTTACTCCTCCTTTCAGTTTTAAAAATTATATACTTGAAATTCTTTTTATTGCTTTCAAGCATTTTGCAATTATGGAAGAAAGCCCCCTGAAACAGTCCAGGGCCTTTTACATCCTTCGATCACCGTGTCATTCAAGTCTTCCATTTGTGATTGCAGCCCCTGGGATAAATTTTAAGACCAAGCTTAGAGGATGCCCAGCACTTCTGATGCAGGGACATGGCCACTGGGGTCTTTCTCCTCTGCGTGGATGCATGTCCTTCCCTGGTCCACCCACTGATCTGTGTAATTTAGGTATTTCCTCACACCCAATAGTCACTCAGGGAAAGCTTGTTGGCATTATGGGAATTTAGATAATTAATCCCAATAACATGATTCTGGTCTCCATTTCCTTTCTCCGGAGACCCAGTTTGTTGCTGTGTGTTCACGTGACTCTGCTCTTTTGCTGGGAAACCAAGCCATCAGATTGTTCACAAAACCAACACTAGCAACCTGGTAAAGTGAGAAGGCTGGAAGCTCTTCCTCAGCCCCAGGCCTCTCTTCTTTTCTTCTTCAGCGTTTGTGGAATGTAAAGTAGACCAAATGAACCAAAATCCATTTGTTTGGCTGGCTTTCTCTGCTCAAGCCAATGTCTTATTCCTGCTTCATAGGTTAGCGTGTACTATTTTGCAGCAGCTGGAACATTACAGTCAAACTCAGAGAGGCAACAAGGCATCCGGGATCTGCTCCCCAACAGTTAGCTTTGTCTTGGGCTCATAATGAAACAATGTGCTTAAAACCATGCTGCTTCCTTTTGCTCTCAGTCCTTTGCAGGGACCATGGAGTCCAGCAAACTCACAAGGAAGTACTGAAGAATTTTAAGAGGAAACTAGAGAGTGTGAGCAAATGACTTTTTGGTGAGTCATCAGTTTCAAAAACACACCCTAATTATGAAACAACCTAAATATTGAACATATGGTGACTTCCTTTTATTAAATATGAAATTAAAAGACTGTTATATTAAACGCATTCGTTTGTTTGGATTTAGCTTTTCTCCAAAACCAACGCACTTAAGAAATCTTTGATAGCTACAGGTTGCCTGATCTACTAGTTTCTGCTCAAATGTTTTCGGTCTAATAAGATACTGTGGGGGCTTCCTTCGGATCTGAGGGTCATACACTGGCCCCTAGGCAATTGCTGGGCCTCAATGATACAATGAGCTGAAAGTGAGTAACAAAGCTTCCATCTCAGTTTCACCACCTCAAGCTCCACACGAATTGGCCAAGTTGTCTGCCGTTCCACCGCTTCTTCACCCTTCTCCCAGCCTCACCCAATTCCACAGCCACTTTCCTGCCCAAGTAGTTAGTAGATTATTAGTCCCCCCACCACCTTTTTTTTTTTTTTTTTGAGTTGGAGTCTCACTCTATTGCCTAGACTAGAGGGAAGTGGCATGCTCATGGCCACTGCAACCTCGACCTGCTGGGCTCTGGTGATCTTTCCACCTCAGCCTTCCAAGTAGCTGGAACTACAGGCAAGAACCACCAGGCCTGGCTAATTTTTTGTAGAGGTGAGATCTCGCCAAGTTGCCCGGGCTGGTCTCGAACCTGTGAGCGCAGGCAATACCCTGGGATTATAGGTGTGAGCCACGGTACACAGCTAGTCTCCCTTTTCTATAAGCACATTCCTACTAAGATGTCAGTGACTTATTACAATCACACACATTTTAATATAGACAATAGAAAAAGGGCAGACTGAACCGAAAAGATGGCATCTGTAATCCTAAAACTTTAGTCATTGGATTAGCTGAGCGAGAGTATATATTCCTAGAAGTCCTTTTGTACTGAATGGAAGTTTTGTCTCCAGGTGAAAAAAAAAAAAAGCACTTGAGGAGAATGGCATTCACTTGACTGAGTTATAAGATCAGCTTTATTCTACCCAGGAAAGGTGGGGGATAAAAGAAAAATAGCTGACACTCTTAATCAATTGTCAAGTAGGCTCCATTCTCTTGAGAACTTTTTCAGTGGGCCAGATCCAGACCTGATTGTGATGAATTCGATATGGATCGAGATGGCCCAGCTGGTGTGGAAGCATGAGGGTCATACTGGGTTGAGGCCCGCATGGCACTAAAGGTCTTCAACATGAAGTTATGGGCCCAGATGTTATTGGAAACATTGTTCTCTCTACTTTTATTAAAATTTACTTACTTTTTCGTAAGAAAGATGCTTCCTTTTTTTCTGATCATGCAAACGATGTACCTGACTAACTTTCCCCTTTATAATTGCTGGGAAGCTCTGTACTTAGAGTTAAGTTTCAATTTTATAAAACATAATCTCATAGATTATTTGCATTATTTTTCTTAATTGACTCTGGTTTTATAGTTTTCCTTTTTTATAGTTCACACAAATTATATAGACATAAATGTTTCGTGTTCTTTTATTTGTATTCTAGCACTATTTTATGATTTGCATTTTCTTTTGAGTCAGAGTCTCACTCTGTTGCCCAAGCTGTAGTGCAGTGGCACACTGACAGCTACTGCAGCCTTGACCTGCTGGGCTCAGGCGATCCTTCTGCCTCAGCCTTCCAAGTAGCTGGAACCGCAAGCACACACCACCACGCCTGGTTAATTTTTTTATTTATTGTAGAGATGAGGTCTCATCATGTTGCTCAGGCTGGTCTCAAAACCCTGGACTCAGACAATCCTCTTACCTCAGCCTCCCAAAGTGCTGGGATTGCAGGCACGATCCACTGCACCCGGCTTATGATTAGTATTTTAAGCAACCTCAAGTCATTTAAAGAAAATGGAGTGCTTAAAGGAAGCAAAAGAAAATAAACTAATTGAATTCAGAGATATCCTTTACTTTCTTTTTGGTGGCATTTCTGAGAATTAATATATTATTATTCTCTTCATCATTTCATAACAGAATGATAATCTGACTAATTTAGACCTGGTTGTTAGCATCTGTGGTTCCCTTGCCCAAAAGTAATTTATGAGCCAGCGAACCTAAAGATATAACACACGATGAAACTTGACCCTTCATAGTTTTCAAATTGCACGACTCCTTAGAAAGGAAATCATCTTATTAAGGAAGTTAATCAGGTTTAGCTCTAGGTTTTCTAAGGACAAAGAACATACTGAAAATATTCACCCTCAAGCACACACCTTATTGCCGTCTTTTGCCATAACCCTTTTCATATTACCCCACCCAGAGGTCTGAGGTTCTTTTACTTGGGAAAGTAGCAAATTTATTCTTGGTGAGAAAGTTGGAAAAAGAAAAACTAATATCTACTCTAACCCCCTCCCCCATTGGAATTGCCCTCCTTCCTTCACTGAAATTACGCAGGAAGGGCTGCATTCCTTCAGCTTTATGGGGTATGACCCAGGGTGTCCAGAGGCCAGACGGAAGAGCTCAATGGAGTAGCATTTTGTAGTAAACTGATCTAGTGCAGAGGTGTTCCACACCCCACTAGAGTGTTTTCTCCCAATTCCCTTCTGTGATCTCAGACAGCCATCTCTGTCTGCTGGGAGAATCATTAAGTCTCGGGCTCTGGGCTCCCTCCTGTTATAAGTCTTGATATTAGGGAGAGTTAGAAAAGTATCTTTTTTCCTTATTGAAGGGGTGTGTCTTGGACTTACCTGCTTGCAGAGGCAGTAACGTGGCCAGGAGCTGCTGAAGGATCAGTGGACCTGTGCTCATGACAACAAGCTGCTAACATTGGAACTGCTTTCCAATACTAACATTGTCTTTCCAAACAGTGTAAGAAAGGACTGAGCCACATGTATATATGAAGAAGGGTGTGAAGAGCCGTGATGTGAAGAGAGTAGTCAGCAGGTAAGCCCAATAACTGTAGTTTGATGTATTCGAAAGCGTGTCACTATGACCACTACTACCTGTTAATCTGAGATCTTTTTTTCTCTCCCTGGGGGAAATTTTGATTTCAGTATTTCATTTCCTGAAGAAGTTTCAAAAGGAGCAGAGTTGAAAAAGGAATGAGCAGAAACAACAGAGTTCAGTTCTTGCTAACTATATAACAAGGTGATTGCTGAATCTCAAACTCCAGATTTTTTGACTCAAAGCACACTCCTCTCTCTCAGATAACAAGGTATCGCCCTATTCTTCTGGTGTGCCTGGGAGGTAGATTGACTGAAATTTTAAAAAAGACTTCACTGAGAATACTTGTTAAAAAAAGACTTCACTGAGGATACTTGTATGGCTTTCACTAATTAGTAATATGTTAACCACAGCAATCTCTTATTATGCTTGAGAGGATTAAGTTTATTTTCACTTCAGGATGAATTTGTTTAAGCTTTGCCTAAATTGGTATACATCCAGGAGGTACTTCCCAATTTAACTGCCACCTCTGGATTCCAAAATTCCCCAAATTGACCCTCATAATCATTTATCCTATTGCTTCCCCAAGTAAATATAAAGTGACACATTATATCTTCTGATTGGCAGGCCTTGGAAAGTCATGAATGTGTTTTTTCTTTTCTTTGAAAAAATTTCTTCTTTTTCATGAAAAAATTATTTATGTAAGCCTAGATAACATATCCTATGTTATTTACTCATCATGCCAGAGACTTAGTGATGGAAAGGTGTTGAAGGAGGTCTAGAAAAAAGACCACGGTGAGAGAAGCCTGGAGAAGTGATGACATTGGCTTTTCTATGGTGATATCCATTAAGCTAAACTTGCAAATAATGTACATGGGCTGCAGAATACAGGCAGAAGGGAGAGTAACAAAATTAGATAAAATTACATTTTGCAATTTATTACAGTGTTGCACAAGTCTTTTTTTGTGTTCTCTGTTCCATTAAAAGACCCACTAATTATCAAACCAAAACAAAATTTAAAACAATTTTGCAATAATGGCCACATAATCCTTTATTCAATCATTAACAAGTAGTATAAACTTGATCAGATTCTTCAACGTTTCTTGTCCAAGTTACTTAATTTGTAAAATGTGGCAATAAGTAAGTATAAAGCTTGACAATTAGAACGTATGTAAGTTGAGTCTTACAAGGTCAACCTGCAGTCACTTTCATTTCATGCACAGCCACAAGCTGACATAAATTTTGCTGGATGCCTCTTATGTCTTGCTTCTCCAAAAAGACAGTCAATTTCTTAAAAACAGGGACAATGTCCCCATTACAGGGTCTATCTGTTGTTGGACTGAGGACACAGGGGGCACCATACTGTCATGTTAACATGTCCTCTAATGTCTTTCATTCCACAATTAAGGAATGCAGATGTCTTTCTAGAAAAGGTAAACAAGCACATTCATTCAAACTAGGTTATAAGTAAATGACTTTGGCTGTCAGTAAATGGAAACTGGAAGAAGCAAGAGGATACTGGGTATTTGAGGGTACTAACAGTGTAGGGGTATGTGTCACAAGGGTACACAACTCAGAAAGTGGAGGAGTGGCATCCTAGGACAAGTGTCACTGAGTTCATAGTCTTGCTTAAGGTCATACCTTATGAAACTATGTGCCGTGTAACCTACCCAATCTAAATGTATGTATTTGTAACTTTCAAAAATATTCTGTCTAGTTCTCTTTTTAATGTTCTTTAGAGAAGGGTAAAATTGTTCCCAAATATGTATGTATTGGGATTTCTCTTAGACTGTATTTGTCTTAGCAGGAAAGTGTTCACGTGGTGTCAAGGTTTGTGCAGTTCTTTGTTGTTATTTTGTTTTGTTTTGTTTGAGTCAGTGGTCTCACTCTGTTGCCCAGACTGGAATGCAATGGCATGATCACTGCAGGCTTGAACTCCTGAACTCAAGCAATCCTCCCTCTTCAGCCTCCTGTGTATCTGGGACTACAGGCACGTGCCACCATGCCTGGCTAACTTTTTTTTTTTTTTGAGTTGGAGTCTCACTCTGCTGCCCAGGCTGGAGTGCAGTGGCACGCTCACAGCTACCTCAGCCTTGACCTTTGGGGCTCAGGTGATCCTTCCGCCTCAGCCTTCCAAGTAGCTGGAACTGCTGCCACGCCCAGTGTGCCACCACATCCAGCTAATTTTTCGATTTATTGTAGAGATGAGGTCTTGCCAATTTGTCCAGGCTGGTCTTGGACCCCTGGACTCAGGCAATCCTCTTACTTGGGCCTCCCAAAGTGCTGGGATTACAGGCGTGTGCCACTGCGCTCGGCCTGGCTAACTTTTTTAGTATTTATTTTGTAGAGACAAGGTCTTGCTATGTTGCCCAGGCTGGTCTCAAACTCCTGGGCTCAACCCATCCTCCTGCCTCAGCCTCCCAAAGTGCTGGAATTATGGGTATGAGCCACTGCTCCTGGCCCCAGTTCTTTACTGGTTAGATACACAGTATTAATAGCTGTGAAAATAATCTAGAAACCCGGAGTGATAGTGCTAAAGGTCTGTAGCATCATGACCTGAAACATACTCTCTTCTATACACAACTGGTTGTAGCCTTGCTAAATTCACACTGTAATGCACAAAACCAGTGGGAAGGGGAAGCCCACTAATCACACTCCTCCTCCAGTAAACCAACAATTTCTTGGAGGTTCCTGTTCAACAGCATTTTGAGAATGAAAATCCACAGGAATTAATAATAGAAGTAGAAAATGTCCCAGGATTTTACTGGGCCATAGGTGTAAAAAATTTCCCATGTGTAGTCTGTTGACTAAATAAGATGCAAAGAGGTGAATAGTGGCGAGGTATATAGTCTTCAAACTGCAAAATATAGTTAAATATTACTGATGAGGGTTGTAAGTCCTCATGCTGTCTCTAGGTCCTCAGTACAAATGTCAATTTTTAATTTCCTGAGGTCCAAAATCTTGAGAACTCTAGTGTTTTGTTTTGTTTTAAATCAAGTCTTTTGGAATAATGACTTTATATCTTTAAGAATTTTTTCTTATCATTTGCTTCTTTCTCATAGGATACATTTTAAAATCTGATATGACTTCTTTTATTGTTTAGGGATAATCAGATGTTTATTATAAATGTGTGATGTCAGGACAGCTTGTCACAATGGAATAATTTCACACCCACAAAGTGTTGGGTAAAGAGAGTTTGTGTTAAGCAAATGGTATTTTCTTTTTGTTTTTGTTTTTGTTTTTGTTTTTATTTTTTTATTTTTTGAGTTGGAGTCTCACTCTGTCGCCCAGACTGGAGTGCAGTGGCTGCTCCCAGCCACCACAGCCTCGACCTGCTGGGCTCCGGCGATCTTTCCACCTCAGCCTTCCAAGTAGCTGGAACTACAGGCATGCGCTATCACACCCAGCTAATTTTTGATTTATTGTAAAGATGAGGTCTCACCAAGTTGCCCAGGAGGGTTTCGAACCTGCGGGTTCAGGCAATTCACTCACCCCCGCCTCCCAAGGCGCGGGATTACAGGTTGAGCGTCACTGCGCCCGGCACAAATTATATTTTCTATGAAAATCTTTTTACACTTGTGCTTGTATTTCAACCTGACCCTGCTTGGAGACTTCCCTAAACTTAATCTCAAAGAGAATCAGGCTAATTATTTCTGATAAGATATTTAATGATATATTTCTTAGGCATCTACACTCTTCTGTGTTGTTGACCAAGATCTCAATTAAACAGATGATTAGTAAAAGAAAATTGTAGACTTTTAAACATATATTTAAGTCAGAATTTTATATATAAAAAGATGGGCTTCAATAAAAAATACAAAATTACAGGTAGATAGGAAGAATAAGTTCTAGTGCTCTATATCACTGTAGGATGACTACAGTTAATAATAATTTATTATATAGTTTCAAATAACTAGAAGGGGGATGTTGAATTTTGCCAACACAAAGAAATGATAAATGTTTGAGATGATGCATACCCTGATTTGATCAATATATATTATAGATATTGAAACATCATTATGTACCCCCTGTATATGTATAATTAATACCTGTCAATTTAAAAAATAAATTTAAAATAAAATTGATAGCCGGTCTAGTGGCCCAGCCTGTAATCCCGCGCCTTTGGGAGGCTGAGGTGAGTGGATTGTCTGAGCCCGCGGGTTTGAGACCCGCCTGGGCAGCAAGACCTCATCTCTACAATAAATCAAAAAATCAGCCGGGTGTGGTAGTGCATGCCAGTAATTCAGGCTATTTGGAAGGCTGAGGTGGAAGGATCGCCGGAGCCCAGCAGGTCGAGGCTGCGGTGGCCGGGAGTGGCCACTGCACTCCAGTCTGGGCGACAGAGTGAGACTCCAACTCAAAAAACAAAACAAAACAAAATAAAATTGATAAAGAATTGTCAAGGTAGTCTTGATAAAGAATGTCAAGAAATATAGTTGGCACAGTTGGCTATTCATTTCGAGGAAATGACTGTAAATCCCCAAAACTAAATTAACTCCAGAGGATTGAAGATTTAAATGCATTAAAAATAATTTAAAGAACTTAAAGAAGTGTTAGAAGAAAATATAGAAAAATATTTTATAATCTTTTTATAGAAAAAAATAATTCTTAGCACAACTACAAGTTTGTGATAGATCAAAAGATTGACATATTTCATAAACATTTTAATCTTTTATGAAGAAGAAAACAACATAAAGAGCTAAAAGACTAAAGGCAAACCATGAATATTTACAACACAAGTGACAAAGAACTAATATCCATGCTTTGTAAAGAGCTCCTAAAAAAGCAGTTAAAAAAAAAAAAAGAACATTTCAGTAGAAAAAACTTAGGACAATGACTTATATACTCAAGCTCCACCCCCCCCAAAGAGAAAAATACCAATGGCCAATAAATATCTGAAAAATGCCTAATCTTACAAATGATTAAACACATGACATTAAAAAAGGTAAAAATGTGCTTATCAGTTAGGCAACATTAAAGATGATGTTGCTGACAGGGTG